TATATTCGTGCAGCTCCTTGGAGTACGGCTTATGGCCACCCTGCTTCCTCCCCTTCTTCTCAGAGTGTTCCCCAGCTAGAGAGTGTGTAGAATTGAGAGAGAAACACAACTTCTGGCTGCAACTGATAGATCAGAGAGGACTCTGGCTGTAGAAAATCAGAATTATGTTGTCCTAGGACCCTGGATCCGAGAGTGCTCTGCCTGGAAGCTCAAGGAACGTGGCCTCTTTAGTGAGATATATAGCTTCATAATTAGCCCGTTGCATTTTTTCACGAGTGCTAGCATCAGCGTTCTATGATGTGTTTCTCTGATTAACAGCTGCTTTGCAACTATTTCCTTCTGCCACCGATGACCATATTTGTCAAGGAACTCCTGACAGAGTACTGATTTCTTACTAAAATGCAGCATTTCTGCTTCAAGACAGTTCTTTCCTTTGCGGCACTGCCTGGCTTTTAAAGCCAGCCCTTGTTAAAACTTGAGTTGGCTTTGGCCTAATGCTTGTTAACAGGATTCTGGCTATCTACTTCAGAGCAGTGGTAGAGGAGCCTTTCACAGGCAATTTAATCTTCTGAGCAGCACACAGCAGCAGCACTGGAGTCGGGTTTTGGGCCCACATATTGGCCGTTTTCTTCACCCTCTAGTTGATCACTCTGGGATAAAAAAGACTTGGCTTTGGTTGTTAGTGTCATTAATTTTTGAATATTTTTAATATTTAAAAATGGCTAATGAATGCTCACGTTTTAGGAGATAGATGTGTATATAGTACACAGGAGTGCTGGAATTGGTGGCATTCCAAATAGGTGTCACTGGAGACAATGCATCAGGTTTACATGTCAGGTGCAAAGTGCTGAGGCTCCCTCAAACCCCAGGTTCGTTATTAGGCAGGCTGTTCTCCCATCCTTCTTGCACAGAAAATAAAGTGTGCACTCTCAAGATTACAGCATGCAGGTCTTTTGCAGGAGAATGGAAAATACATAGAAGTGTCTCTTCAGTGAAGATTGTCAGAAACCTGGATTCTTCCCCCCAGGGATTACTTACCCCACAAAATGCAGTTAACAGTGTGTAGTTCACAGCAGATAACCCCTGGAAACACTGTACTCCACTGATTTATACAGTTTCAAATCCTGGTGTCTCAAACACAAATCTCTCTCAATTGGCCAATCATCATGGACCCAAAGGTGTGTTTTTTGACCTGAAGTCCCCCCTCTTTTTCTGAGTTGCTGGCAGAGTCTCAACATGATTATAGTTAGACCAGGTGGCAAAGAATATGCTGTTCTCCTTTGAGCCTTGGATTTTCCTCTACCTCTAAAATTGATAACCAGTGAAAATTACCAAATGTCCTTAAAATTGTGGAGTTGATGGCAGCAGGTTGTTTTATTTTGTCTGGGGTGGGCAAGAATATAGGTGGTAGGCCAGAGGAACTGAGGAGAGTGGAAACTTTGCTTCTGTTTTCTTCTGAGTTTGTGATCTGTATTTTTGTTAAACTAGCTCCTGATAATTCGAGGTATACTCATTAAGAACTCAATCAGTGCAGGAGGAGGGGAGAGGAAAGGCAATTCCTTATTTATCATGGACTCCACAGCGAGTGGCTCAACAACAGCACGGGAGCCTTGTGCCAGAATTTTCGCTGGCTTGCTGCACTCCCACAACATGTGCAATAAAGTTCCTGTCACCGTTTTACATCTTTGACATTGAGGCGGAAGATTTGGCCTGAATTTATGTAATTTAGTTGGGCACAAATATAACCCATGAATAGTCACATTCATCTTCTAATTAGAAAATCAAACGATAACACAGGACAGACTGCAGCACCCCATCATTGAATCCAACAAAAGTGTGTTGTGTGTTGGACCTCTGCAGAGGAAAGTCAGTTGAATTGCTTCATGAAGTTAATGAAAAGTGTCCAACAGTAGGTGGGCGAGAGCCCCAAAGCAAGCGTCCTGTCGGTTATTCCGTGGGCAAAGATCTTTGCATTATGGGTAAGGGGTTTTGGGAAATCTTTTGCTGTCAGTGTATGAATCATAGGGCTATAAAACTGTAGGTTGGACAGGCGCCCCCCCCCCCTTTTCATTGTAGGACCAATGTCTGGGGAGGGAGGAGAAAAGTGAAGAGTAGCTCGAGGAATAATTAGTGGAAGGAGGAGAGAGGTTTTCATAGGCTCACACTTACATGTAGCCGCTTATCTGGGTGTCTTTCTTATTCAGCACATTATGTGAGGCTGTTAGTTTGGGTGCTTTATATTTTTGCATCTGGAGAAGTGATATCAATGCTGTTAAATATGTGATTTGCCTGTCGCCTGCATTTTCAGACAAAGATCAAGAGGAACATAAACAAGCTCCAGATATACTTTATGTAGGTGTTTGGCAGTATTGTTTTATATGACTTGAAATTAGTGAATGGAAACTTTAAAAGAAATTGTTCATATTTTTGCAAGTTTGAAGTGTGCCGGGACTTTGTCAAATTCCCGTTAAAATAAATATGTCAATTTCATCTCCCTTCCAAATTCATTTATCTTGCTTTTTTAAAAGGTGTTTTCTACTTTACCTGATGTTTAAATTGGATTCGCTCGTTTATGCTGTTCTTTGCTATATCCCCCACGTTTTTCTTAAATGAATTACTAATGACAGAGCACTCCATCATTCCCTCTCTGCAGCCACTTTAAGGAAAGCATGGTGATCTAAACCTTTTAACCTATTAAAGATGATTTTTCCCAATTGAATCAGACCCACCACAGGTGTAATAACTAATCATTTAAACTACACCTGCTATTATGTATTTTTAAGCCATTATGCGTGTTGGATAGATGATAATTCATGTTTATTGCATTGTCCGATGGATCCGTTTTGCCTACACTAGGCTGATTAATGTATTTAAAGAAATAAGAGATGCAATTTTTTAAAAAAAAAATTGATGGAATGCGCCAAGCACTGCATTGAGTGCACCATTAAACCCATCAGAACTTTGCTCTCTGACCAGAAATGCATATACCAAGGACTATATTAAAAAAGCAAGGTGAAACATGTGCATTTTAACGGTAGGATTTTGTTTTCTTTCTCTGCCATGGGAAATTTTGGAAGGATGCGGGAAAGGCTTCTTTTTTCTCTGGGTGAATGATAGGAGCTGTGCTGTTTGCATCTCTTGCTTAAGACCTGATCATCCACATTTCCTCCGATGCCTGGCACACATATCACATGATCCCAGTACTGTCATTTTTGTGTGTGTTGAGATGCATTTTTCCTCCAGGTAAAGAACGGTTATTCCAGAACTATCAGCAGTGCAGATTGGTGTTGAACCCAAGGGACACTCTGGAACATGTGCCTTTCTTCTTTCTTCCTTTGGATTTCCTTCCCTGTTTATTCCTTTTTTAAATTTTACTTTTGGGGGCTGGTCAGATGACTCTGGTCTAAAGCACCTACTTAGAACAAGCTTAGCAAAGCACAGGGACCGCAGTTCAATCCCCCAGCACCACACGCCAGCCAGCCCCGCCCCCTGGTGGGCTGAGCAGGCCACACACACACATACACACACACACACAAATAAATAAAATTAAAAAAAATAAATTTTACTTTTTTGCCACCTTATGTTTTGTCTCCTCTTTCTTTATTTTCTTCCTCTACTCCCTTTTCTATCTCTCTTCCCTCTATCTTTTTATCAAAACACATAAATGTTCTAGATGATTGGTCAATTTTTCTGGGATTTTGATGCAACTTGAGGTGATCTGGTGGGTCCTAGAAGCTCCAGGCTGACTTTTCCTCAGCCCAGGATGATGGTTGGTTGTATTTTTCCTTAGCCTGGGATGGTTGGTTGTCACTGTAGTTTGTGTTGGAGGTCAGTGCTGTTTGTGGTGTTGGAGGGCAGATGGTAATCCACAGGGAGCTGGTATGACCTTCAGGTGCACTTGTGTGTCATTTGGGTTACAGGCCCAGAAATGTTTGTTTTCAGCAGCTCACAAGTGAACTAACTCCAGTGCCTGCAACAGGAGATCACACAGTTCTTTTGGTTTTGATATTGTGAATAGTGCCACTCATTCAAAATTGTCCCTTTTTTACCCAGTGCACTTTCTGTTAGTAAGACCAGTGTCTGTGATGGGGAGCAGACAGGCAGTGTGTGAGCTCAGGCCTCGCTTGTATTGAGAGATGTGGAGGTTAATACTTTTACCAATTTCCCTTCTATTCCTTCCTTGTCTTTTTTGTAGATCTGAAGATTTCATTAGATAATATTCATTGCCAGAGATAGGTAGATAATCTGTCAGTCTGTCACCTTATACCAGAGAACCCCCAATTTTGTTGTGTAGAGGAGGCTCTTCAGAATTCAACTCCACTCATGGGAGAGACTGTTGTGGCCAACCACGTGTGTTGTCTCTTATACATTTCCTTTTTGTAGTCCTTGGATGCTCAGCACTTTGCCAGGCTCTGTGCGGAAACACATTCTCTTCCCCTCAGTTGCGTGCAGTGTAGTTGGGGAGGCTGCCTGCACATTAGAAGACAGTATAATTATGCCTTCAATTATATGGTGCAACTACAGCATTGAGGAATTGGAGAGAATGGGGAGATTGGGGATGGCTTGCTTATGTAAGGAAGGATCCAAGGAGTCAGAACTGGCTATAAAAGAGCTGTGCTGAGGAGTGTATGTATGTAGACAGTCAAGGCGGGAAAAGGAGGCCTTCCAGGAAGAAGCCATGTACGGCACACAGGTGCCTACTATATGAACATGGTTGAAGAAGCAGCTCAAAGAGGGAAGATAGGAAAAGCTCCTTGAAGGTCTGCAAAGCTCAGTTTTGGGCATTAGATTTGATTGACTCAGATGGAGTCAAAACCAAAAGCCACTGAAGACAGGAAAGTAATCTGGTCTTACATTTAGATAGATAGGAAATTTAAGGAACAGCTAAATACTTGATCACGTGTACACTTGTGTCCAGGGCCCAGAGAACTCATAGGGTCTTTCATCTTGAAATTCAGACTGTTGAAGCTTACTCTTCTCTGTTTTATCTCACCCACCAGATTGCCACAGCAGTGAAGTTTCTACAGAATTCCCGGGTCCGCCAGAGCCCACTTGCGACCAGGAGAGCGTTCCTTAAGAAGAAAGGTACAGGTCCTCCCAACTGCACAGCGGGGCTGGGGATGGGGCAGGTGGAAACCACAGAGTGGAAGGCAGGTGCTGAGCACAGTAAATATCTCCCACTGCTGTATACTGGTGTGGGGTGGGGGCTAGGAATGGGTGACACCCCATCCCCAAACCCAGAGGGCAGGTTTCCTTTTTAACAGTGGAGCAGAATGGTTACATGATTCACGTAATGAAGCACCTTCCAGAAGGCCAAGGACATCAGGCAAAAGCAATGTATGTAGCAGTGTTGCCCCCTGGATAAGGGTGTGGAGGACTTCTGCTCTCTGGTCCTTTCTTCTGTCACTCATCCTAGCGGCTGAATGACTGGCTTTTGGTAAGGAGGCTGCCTGCTTCAGTAACAAGTGAGGAGGAGAGACGCAAAGGACAGGGCAGTGAGATGACTAAACAAGGTCAGGCTGAGGTCAAGCCTGGGGCCAGTCAGATTTACAGATTCAAGTAGTAAATTGCTGGTTTTATGGTATTTCTGTAAGCACGGATAAAAAGATCCTGACAAATTCAATGTCTGAAGGAGACACAATCTATTCTAGTTCTATTGGAATTTAGGACATCTTTCTTTTTTGTGTGTGAAATGAAAACAATTAACCAACCAAAAAAGAAACCGGACTTCTTATTCTTGGAACTCTTTAGTGGTTTAAAGGCCTTTATATTACAGGTCTTTTCTTCAAAACAAAATTGCTTTCTTTCCGTAAAACCTGGAATGTTTCCCTCCAAAATCTGGTGTTTCTACACTTTTGGTTGGAATGGGTGATGGTGGTTTTGGGTGCACTTAATGCTGCCTGCAGGGTTGCTGCCAGGACGCCCTGGTCCCTGCACCTGCGCCTCCCGGGCCGCACCCCAGTGCTTGGGCACAGGCGCCCACGCATTTCATTCACAGGCAGCTGCTTTGCAGCAGCCCCAAGGCTGGTCTCCGCGACAGAGTTGGTGAGGGGCACTGCGCACTCGCTGGCTGCACTGGCTCACCCCCCATCATTAGGAGATTATTAAAATTTGGAGTGTGTTGGCTGGCCTCTCCATTCCACAAGCATCATGCCATAAAAGAGTTTTTTCTTGAAATATGTGTACCTATGGGGAGTAATTAATCATAAAAGCTTAGGGATTTCAGCTCTCTCATCAAAGCATCGAAGCGGGGGAAAGCTGAGCCTAAAAGCTGAGCTGATTACCCGGGGTAACCTGAGACAAAATCTATGGTTGCCGAGAGATCCTTAGCCCAGTATATTGTGCAATATTATAACTGTCTGATCTTCTCTTCCACCGACAATGACCAGTTAGTCCTCATTTTCTCTCAAACGCAGCTGGGTTAGAATTTCATTTGCAGAAGGTATTTAGAGCAATTTAGAGACAAATGTCTCTGGTGTTTGCTCGGCACTTCCCCACCGCAGGCTTTGCTGAGCAGTTTTAGTATCAGGAGCTCCATCTAATCTGTTTAATTTTAATAAATCCCTGACTGGGAGAGGGAGAGAAAAAAGAGCGCGCGAGAGAGAAACTCTGGACCAAGTAATACTTCTTTTGAGTCACTTGGCTCATAATTACTATAGAGAAGAAACTGTTCTGCGCAATTATTTGCTGCTCTTAAAAAAAGAAAAACTTAAACTGATGTATCAGTTCACCCTGTGCCATCCCACTTCTTCCCACTGTGGATTTGCTGGGAACAGGATCGATAAAATCCCTGTCCTCAGAGAGCGTCTGTCTTGGTGGAGGAGGCAGGCAAGACCAAGTGGCAAAGTGGAGAATGTGGTGTCTGCTGATGAGTGCCGCAGGGACACAGAAAGCAGAGCGTGAGGAGCTGAGGGGGCAGCTTGGTGCAGGGTGGGTTTGATCTTAAGGAGGGCAGATGCATACCAGCTGTCTCAGAGAGGGTGGAGTGTGACCAAGGACCCGAAGGAGATGCGCTGTTGTTGGTAGAGTGGCTCCCTGTCTTCTTGGATTAGCATTTTCAGAACTTGGGGCACTCAGAACCCTGAGAAGCTATCCTGCCCTTTTTGCTCTAAAGAAAGCCACACAAGTTTACCCCTGTACCTAAACCCGGAATCACTGAGGCTAATCAGCCATCTCCATTATCTTCTGAAATGCTGCTTCAGTCGGTGATTATCCATTTCCGAGTTGAATCCCAGTAGAATAAGTTCTGGCAGGACCTTTTCTGGGCAGAGAATTCCAAGGTTTGATGGGCGTCTGGGGACGAAGAGCCTTTTCGTGGATTTAAACTTCACTTTTAAATTTCCACTGTTCCTTGGTTCAGACTTGCACAATTTACACAGCTTGGCACTGTCTCTGATGGTGGCTGAGCAAGGAGCACCTATGCTGTCCCTAATGGTGGTTGTGAAAGGGGAAGGGAGGAGGGTGGGCTTGCTCATGTAGGCGGGAGGGATTGGGTTCCAGGGCTGCACTCTCAGGCTCCCTGCAGGACTGTCACAACGGCAGGGTTTGAGGCTTTGGTTGGGGGAGAGCTCCCAACTATTGTTGTCTTGGCTTTTCCTAGCAAATGTCACTTCAGGGAATTGCAGTAGAGCACTGACTTGAATTATAATCCATCCTGCCTGCCTGCCTGCCTGTCTGTTTGTTTGTTTGTTTCTTTCTTTCTTTCTTTCTTTCTTTCTTTCTTTCTTCCTTTCTTTCTTTCACATCTTTTTCCTGAAAAGGGAAATCCAATTTTGTTTTTCTTTTAATATTATTTAATATTTAATATAGAAATTGAGGTCTCTGTAGTGCATGTCAGTTGAGTGGAAAATGAGGGTTACTTTAGGCGCATCAGCTGAGTTTGTTTTATTGTGAAACCGCAGCCTGGAGCAGGGGCTGCATCCTGCCTGTTCCTGACAGGTTAAGTGTTGCGCTCTCTGATGAGGGGGTGGGGGTAGGGAGGAAAGGGGGGGGTGAGGAGTGTGGGGTGGAGAGCTTGGGATGGCTGGGGAGGGACAGTATTGATTTGCAAAGGTCTGCCTTGTTTAGGTTTTCAGGGTTTTTGTTTTGAGATCTCTTTTGGATGCTTTAAAGTCTGAATATGGAGTCATTAATGAGAAACATGAAGTTATTAGAATCATTTATCATTTTCTTTGAAGTTTGTACTGCCATTTTATGTAATTTACAGCATTTCTTCCTTTTATCAGGAATATTTTGGATGAAAGAGAAAAGCAGCTGTTCACCTTCAGAGTATTAGGATGAATGTTTTTGTTTTCCTTCCAAGCGCTGGATTCTGTGGAGGCCATGCCAGCTGCAGTCAGCCACACACAGCGATGACCGGCCTGTGTGGGGTTTAAGCCCGCGTAGCACTGGTCTGTATATAGCAGCAGTGCTTGCCAGGCAGGCATTGTATCTGGGGCTGTAATCAGGCCGCAGCCCAGCACGCTAGCATAACTGAAAAACAGCCGCGGAACCAGCGCAGAAGGTGAGAGGCTTGGAAAGTGTCAGTAGGCTTAGGTTGGCTTGACACCTTATCCAGCCACAAAGTGTGGGATGCAGTCTGCTTCCAAACATGTTTAGCAGGCTGGGTACAAGCTGGTAAAAGGGGTGCTGTTCATGGGGGCAGAAGAAGGATGAGGTGTGACAGGCTAGAGTTGTTTGCTGACTGCTCCCAGCATATCTGTTGTAAAGCAGGCTTCTAGAAAAAGATGAGAGTTGCATATTTTTTCTGCATAATCCGGTAGAGTGAGGCCAGGTGGTGCTGGCTGACACTTTACTTATTGTGCTCTTCGGAAGTATAGAAGTAAAGGACCATTTTCTCTTTTACTTTCTAATAAACAGTCATGGGGTAGGGGGTGGGAATGGAAAGGAGGAAAACTAATAAAACAGGCAGCTACTTTCTCATTCTAAAAGGTGAAACCAGATCTTACCTTTCTTCTCTGTTCCTGGAAGTGGAGCCCCATAGCAAAAGTGCCTTCTTGCTGGAACTGAACTTGAGGAAGAGGCCTGGTGGGCACAACCTTGGGATTGGGGTAGAGGTGAAAGGCTTCTCTCTCTGGAGTAGTTTAAGGGGGAGTAAATTCTTACACAGATTTCAATTTAACTCTCTTTTATTACTTTTCTTTTTTTTTTATCATTTACATCCATTTCATGAGGTAGTTTGCATGTCCTTGAATGGAATCTCGTTACCATGAAAGCTTTTTTAGCATTGATTTCATAACAGTCTTAATTTAATAGCTCCGTCATTACTGAGAAGCTCTGGGAGTGGGGCCCTGGCTTTCCAGGTCACTGACCTTTTAATTACAAACCTTGTTCTGATGGCCAGGTTATCGACTGGACAGCTCCCAGCTTGTGCCCCCAGGATAAAAAACGAAAATAACTGTTTCCTCCCCCATCTCCAGCAAGAAAAAAAGTAAAAGTAACCTCTGTGTTTCTAAAATTAATTTTCTCCTTCAGCTTTACTTTCTAATTAATTCTTTAATGTGTCTTAGTGAAGCCAGAAGTCTTTTCCAAAGCTTTTGTTCCTGGGGCAGGGGTCCAACTGACAGTTTGAGGGCAGGGGGCACACATCTTGCCAGAGCCACCCCTTGCTGGACCGAGGCCTCTTTCTCGTCCCTGGAATTCCTGTGGCTGAGCTGGAAGGAGCAGTGTTGGCCCTGTGAGGGGCTGTTTGGCCCCTCTGAGTCTTTGTTAACCAGACATGGATTATGGCTTCAATATTTAGATTTATTTCTGTGTTTGCTGGAGTGATTAGACCATTGTGCACCTTTTTGTTTTTGTTACTAGGGATTAAACCCAGGGTCTTGATACTGAGCTATGACATCCTCAGTCTGTTTTCATTCTACATTTTGAGACAGGATTTTGCTAAATCGCTAAGTTGTCTGGGTTAAGTTGCTGTCCTGCTGCCTCACCCTCCCAGAGTACTGTGATCACAGGTGGGTACTATGAGGCCCGGCTTATCAGGGACATCTTTTTGGGGGTGGTATATGATATACCCATTCTGAGAAAAGAAAGGAGTAGAGTGAATTCTGTTCTGTTTTGTTTTGTTATTATCTATTAGTCTTAAA